AGTCCAATCATGTGTGGTGCTATGTATTATATAAAGAAACGTCAAATAATTACAAAAATGAAATACGAGTAAAACAAACTCAGTTCCTTTGGTCACTCAAGCAGGGAAAATAGTTGTCGGGTCACCTAAAATGCTGTATACCAGGTTTGCCGTCACTGGTATGCAGCATTCTCATTAAAGGCCTGCAGAGAATCCTCCAGAAGTTACAAATATCAATCCAAAGCACTAAATATGGGAACCTATAGCCTTCTTTACTGCAATTATTGCAAATGAAAATGGAGTTGCAGTGCTATTTATGGTGGATAGACTCAAAAACATTTCCTGTCATCTTTCCATGGTATCTCACCATAGCATTAGGGAGTTATTGTGAGCAACAATTTCGTATTTACCTTGAGATGGTTGAAATAGATTACTGGGTTAAAGCTAGAGACTTCAATTCATTTTAATGATATGAATCAGTTGAATTATATTAGAATAATCTTGCAGTCCAGGGGAATTGGTATGTAGGTGTCAATTTTATGCACCTGTCTAAAAGGTTTTCTCATAACATTTCACTGTGCTAAGGGGAAATGGTTGTTTAGTTTTCAAGTTGTTTGGGTCTTTGGCTGCCAGAGCTTAAAAGAAATTGCTGTCTATGTGCCTCAAATGTTTAGATGTTGATTTGTCTTCCTCTAGGGCAGTCTTCCCTATTCTAGTTCCGTCCAATTATTTTGGAAGTTCTGGGAGTTAAACACAAAAGATCTGAAGGAAAAAATTGGGAAATGCTGCCCTAGATTTAGATATTTCTTGGCTGTGAAATAATAATCTTAGCTGTTTTCCCCTAGATAGCACTAGTTGACTAAGAATTTTCATGTTATTCCTTGCACATTGTTTACAGAAGATGTATCCATCATGAATGGGAAGCAAAACTATAAAGTCATTCTAACTTAGGTATTTCATGTTTGGACTGGCTTTGTTCCCAACTATTTTATATGGATGTGTTGATTGGAATTCTGAAGAGAGCACCTACATTTAAGCATCTGTTCATTCATAAAAGTTTCAATCAGGATATGTGTCTTCTGTTTCTGCATGAGTCATAGATATGTTTCTTTGTATTCTCCTGGAGTTCAAGATGGTGCAAATGATGACCTGGCTTTATAATTTTATTTATTTATTTATTTATTTATTTATTTATT